CCACCCCCTTTTCGCTGCCGATTTTCCTTTGCAATGAATGGTTGGTCCAAAGAACCTCTCTCTAGGGCAGCAGAGAGCTTTTTGCACTTTAAAAAAAACAACAAAAAAACAACAAAAAAAAAAAAAAAAAAAAAAAAAAAAAAAAAAAAAAAAAAAAAAAAAAAAAAAAAAAAAAAAAAAAAAAAAAAAAAAAAAAAGAAAGAAAAAAAAGAAAGGAAAAAAGGTTGGAATCTTCTTTTTCTGGGTTACTATTTTATTTCCCTCCCTGTCCTGCCTGTGCCCGGACGCTCCCCAACTCTCTCCCCACCCCGTGTCAGCACCCCGCTCTCTCCCTGGCAGCGTACAGATAGCACAATCCGGGGTGTCCCCTCTGTGCCACCTGTCCCCAGCCCCGCAGGGAGGTCCTCCCGAGGGCAGCCCCCCCACACTGCTTCAGAAGCAATAAGAGAGGAGAGATGGCCGCCCACCCCTTTCCCGGGCGTGGGGACTGTCCCCGGCTGCCACAGGGGGATCCGAGGGGACAATCCCACAGTGCCTGGGACAAGGGATGGTGTGGCCTCACTGCCGGAGGGCTCGGAGCAGGAAATCCCCGCTGGGTGAGAGGAGGGAGCCTTCGGCCTCAGCCTCTCTTGGCGATGGCTCCCAGGGAAGACGTTGGAAGAATTAAATGCTTTTCTTTTTCCTTTGGATTAATTTTGAGTTTTGCAACAAGAAAGAAAACTTAAAAGAGCTGGGGGTGGGTGTGGCTGGAGGGGCCGGGGGCTCCCTCCCTCTGGGGGTCCCTCCTCCATGGGGACAGCACCCCCTTCCCGCTGTGCCCCGCAGAGCTGCCGGCGTGCAGCCCTCCTCACCACCCCGGCGTGGTGCAAATCCACAAGGAAGAAAAAAAGAGAATTATATATAAAAAAAATCACTTAGTGATTTAAAACCAACCCAGCCTGCTCCCTAAAGACAACTCCTGCAAGCAAAGTTACTTGTTTAAGGGTTTGGTTGTGGTTTTTGTTTCGTTTTGATCCCCCCTTCCCTCCCTTCCCCTCCCTGGAGAAATATTGTAAATATCTATTTTTTTGTTGGCGATTTAGAGTCCATCTCTGATGTTTGTGCTTTAAAATTAAATGTAAGCATTAAGGGTAAAAGCAAACCAAGTCTTGCGCTCTCTCAGTTGGGGTTGGGGCTCTTGGCTGGGGCAGAGGGAGGGCACCTACTTGGCAGTTACTTTTGGTTCATTTTCAGTTTGCCTTTCCTTTTCCTTTTTTTTTTTTTTTTTCTGAGATTTCTAGAGAGGATCTTTGCTCATAACGTATTACCACAAGGCTGTTGTGGGGGGAGGGAAGATCCCAGCCTCCCAAGGGAAATATTTTGTTTCTTGGGGGTGGGTGGATTTTTGGAATAAAAAAAGTGAAAGAAAAAAAAAAACAACGAACTAAAATCGCTGAGTGTTGGCTCTGCCCGTTGTTTGTGAGGGAAGCGGAGGGGACGAGGCTGGGACCTCCTCTGTCCCAGCTGTCATCTCTTATGGTGGCAGTGGCAGCCATCCCTCTGTCCCCATCCTGCTGGGTGGTGGCAGCTGTGCTTGTGTCCCATCCCCTCCTGCCAGGGCCATGCGAGTCCTCGCTCTCTGCCCTTTCCTGGCGGATCCCTGGGCCACCAGGGTGACATTTAGCGTCGCCCAGCCTGCAGGGAGTCACAGCCCGCATCCCCGCGGCGGTTGGGCTGTGCCATTTGCACGACGAGGCACAGGGCTCGCTCCTCCGTAGGTGACATCCTCCTCCTCAGGTGGTGAGGCCACCGCCACCCTCCCTGTGCGCTGGTCCCCGAGCGTCACCCTCGGGAGGCACTGGGACCAAGCGAATCTCAGCGCCTCAAGCCCCTGCCTGTCCCCTCCCGGTGTCCCCTCCTGGCCCCGGGGACAGGGAGCCCGCACCCAGTGTCACACGCACACGGTCACACCTGCTGCCAGGTGTGTGCACGCGCGGTGCTGCACGCGTGGTGCTGCACGGTGCCACACGTGGTCACCCCTGGTGTCACACTCAGTGTCACAGACACCCCCGGTGTCACACACACGTGATGTCGCTGTCCCCCCCGCTGTCCCCGTGTCCCCCCCCCCGCTGCCGCCGGTGTCGCGGCCCCTCCCGGGTGGGCGTGGCGGCCGCAGGCCCCGCCCGCCGTTCCCGGTGCGGCCTCGCCCGGTGCCGCTGCGGGCGCTCCCGTTCCCGCTCCCGTTCCCGTTCCCTTTCCCGTTCCCGCCGGCCCAGCCCGACCCGGCCGCGCCCCCGCCCGCTGCCGGCCCGGCCCCGTTCCGCTTCCGGGCGCGGTTCCGGTTCCGGGCCGGCGGTCGGGCCGGGCGGCTCGGCGGGTCCGCGGCGGGGCCATGGCGGACCTGGAGGCGGTGCTGGCGGACGTGAGCTACCTGATGGCCATGGAGAAGAGCCGCGCCGCGCCCGCCGCCCGCGCCAGCAAGAGGATCGTCCTGCCCGAGCCCAGGTGAGGCCCCTCCGGCTGTCCATCCGTCCGTCCGTCCGTCCGTCCGTCCGCTCCCAGCCCCGACACCGCTCCCGGCGCCGCTCCCGCACACCCGCGTGCCACCGGCACTCCCGCCGGCAACACCTGCCCGGGAGCGCCCCGGCACCGGCACACGGACACACGGACACGCACGGGCAGGGACACACGGACACCAACTCAGACACACGGACGTGGACACACACGGGCAGGGACACACGGACGTGGACAGGGACACACAGACACACGGACGTGGACACAGAGACACTGGCACACGGACAGGAACACACGGACATGGTCATGGATACACACGGACACACAGACATGGACACATCCTGCCTGACATACAGACACAGACACAGACACAGGGGCATGGACACACACACATCCTGCCTGACACACACACATGGGCACACACACATGGGCACACACACATGGGCACACACACATGGGCACACAGACATGGACACACACACATGGGCACACACACATGGGCACACACACATGGACACACACACATGGACACATGGACATGGGCACACACACATGCTGCCTGTCGCATGGACGCACAGACACCGGCACATGGACATGCAGACAGACATGGACGCACAGCCATCCTGCCTGACAGACAGACACAAACACAGAGACACACAGACATGGACATACAGTCATGTGTACACTCTCTGACCCCCCCACGTCAGCCCCCTGCCCTCCTGCTGCCTTCCTCCTCCCAGCCCCAGGTGCCCTCACTTCCAGGCACCCAGGAAGCTTTCTGGGGACACCCCCCTCCCCAGCCTGCCTTGGACCCCCAGTGCGTGGGACACCCTGTGACCCTTACAGGGGCCCATCAACTTGTCACACTTGGGTGGGGACACAGAACGTGGGAGGAGTGGGAGAGGAGGAGCACGGTGGGCACGGGGGTCTTCCAGGGGGCACAAGGGGCACTGAGCCCCCGCGGTGTCTCCCCAGCATCCGCAGCGTCATGCAGAAGTACCTGGAGGACCGGGGAGAGGTGACCTTTGACAAGATCTTCACGCAGAAGATCGGTGAGCTGAGGGCACGGGGGGGGGGGGGCGGGGGGGGGGCACCCACTGGAATGGGCTGGTGGCCACCACGACGGTGATGGTGGCCATGGCCATTCCCCTGCCCCCTGGGAGGCAGCAGGGGGGCTGTGGGGCCAGGCTGGACGGGGTGCCAGGGGGCTGCGCCACGTTCCCCACCCCATGTCCCCCGCCCTGTCACTTCCCCCCACGCCAGCCTTAACCGTCCTGGGCAGGAAGCGCCTCTCACTTCCTCCTGCCGGCTCCGGCGGTTTCCGGGCACGTCCTCCCCACGGCAGCCTGCCCGTGGTACCCGCCCATGCCCCTGCCACAGTGTCTCCCTCCACATCAGCCCCCTCGCTGCCCCCCTGCCCTGCTCCCTGTGCCAGTCTGGTCCCCCGTGTCACCCTGCCAGACCCTCACCACTCCCTGCTTGGCACTTCCCTTCTCCCAGCCTGGCATGGGGGTGTTAGCAGGGCCAGGGGATGGTCCCTGTGTCCCTTGGTGTGGGCTGTGGGGCTGGCATCTCTCACACTGTGGCTTTGTCCCTTGCCAGGCTACCTGCTCTTCCGTGACTTTGCCTTCAACCAGGCCGAGGAGGCCAAGCCTCTGATGGAGTTTTATGAGGAGGTGAGATGGGGGCACCCCCGTGACAGCCCCCTGTGTTCATGAGGAGGGGTGGGCCGGGGTTTGGTGCCTACAGGCCCACAGACGCGGTGCCAGGAGCAGTACCCGAGGTGACAGTGCCCAGGGAGCCAGGACGTGCTGCTTCGGGGACACGGGGGATGGGGGAACCATCGTGTGCCCGCAGGATGTGGCACCCAGAGGGGTTGGGGCCACGGTTCCCAGTGTGCCAGGTCCTGTGTGCCCCTGTGCCACGGGAGCTGTGCCCTTTCCAGATCAAGAAGTACGAGAAGCTGGACTCGGAGGAGGAACGAGCCGCCCGGAGCCGCCACATCTTCGACCATTACATCATGAAGGAGCTGCTGGCCTGCTCCCACGTGAGTGCCGTGCCGTGGGGCGAGGCACGGGGCTGGGAGGGGTGTCCCCCCTGTGCCCACGGGAGCCTGGTACCCTGTGTCTTCAGAGGGAGCTCCGAATCCTCCACGGGCTCCATCCTGGGAGACACAGACCCCCTGTGTGGGTTTTGCCCTGCCTGGCCCCTGTGTCCCTGTCCCTTCTATCCAGAGTGACACAATCCCATCTCCCCTCACAGCCCTTCTCCAAGAGCGCCACGGAGCATGTCCAGAGCCGCCTGAGCAAGAAGCAGGTGCCCCCAGATCTCTTCCAGGTGAGCATCACCCGGGACAGAGGGGGGGTCCCTGACACCTGTGGCACCCCCTTAAAGAGGGCTGGGGGAGACAGGAGTCCCTGGAGGTGGGGGGAAAAGGAGATTCCCAGGAAGTATGGGGACCCCAAGGGATGGTGAGAGGGTCCCCAGCATGGTGGGAGTGATGGGGGATTGCTGGTGGTCCCCATGGGGTGGTCATCAGGGCACTGGGAGCTGGAGGTAGCAGGGATGTCACCCTAGGGTGACAGTGGAGTCCCCAGGTCTGGTGTTGTTGGGTTCCCCAGAGATTCAGGTGACCCGGAGTGGCAGAAGCTTCCCTGGGGGCCTGGAAGTGGCAGTGGGGGTGTGTGCAATCCCAGGGATGGAGAAGACTTCACGTAATGGTGGGGGACGGGTGACCTGGGTGTCCCTGGGGACACCACGCTGAGCTCTGTGTCCCCTCCAGCCTTACATTGAGGAGATCTGCCAGAACCTGCGAGGGGGCATCTTCCAGAAATTCATCGAGAGGTGAGCTGGGAGGAGAGTCCCGTGTGGATCGGGGTGTCCCATCCCCCTGGGTCCCTGGGGAATCTCCTAGCCCAGACTGGGACCAGGCAGTCCCTTCTCAGATAAAGCTCCAGGGGTGTCTGTCACTACACTGGGGACTGGGGACACTTCTCAGCCCCAGGTCTCTCCCAGGGTCTCTGCTCCCAGACAAGGGTCCCAGGGGGTGCTGCCTGCCTCCAGACAAATCCAAGGGTTCTTGGCAGAGGGTGTTTCTCCAGGGTCTCCACTCTTGCCCTGTCTGTGCTTGCTTGCAGTGACAAGTTCACGCGGTTCTGCCAGT